AATCCAGCAGACAGTTTTCTTAATGAGCAGAGCACCCACAAGTGGAAGATGATAGAGATTCCAAGAAACGAAAGCCAAGGGACTCAAAAGATTCCTGTGGTGGGTTTGGTTCCTTTTTGTAGATAAGCCAGATCATTTTGTGATATTACGATTTTCACTGTTAGCCACTTAGGAGATGATTAATGCATCCTGAGATGTCCCCAGACATTTATGACTCCTCCAGGAGCAGCGGTGACGATGGCTCTATCATGCACGGCAACTTCTTACCCTTGGCATTGCTCTTAATTATTTATATATTCTGGGACAGCCAGGTTTCCTCCCACCAGAGTTCAGAAAGGTAGTAAATGAGAAAAGTCAATGGTCTGTAAATTACAACATTGATTAAAGAAGTGATTACTGATAGAACTCTTGCTTGGCTATTATGCTAATGCCTGCCCAGCCCTGGGACAGTGTTTTCATGCTAATGACAAGTCTGGGACAGCAACTAAAATTGGTTTCTGTCCTTAATCAGCATGTAAACATTTTTAAACCACTCTTGACCACAAATGAGAAGATCCATCCCTGTGGTGCCCTCCCAACTTCTCCCTGCCATGGCCCCTCACAGATGGAGGACATTCTCCCAGCTGGGCCCTCACCAACTGCCCCTGCAAATGAAGTGTGAGTCAAAGATGAAAACTGGGCCCACACCAGCCATCCACGGTTCCTGGAAGCTGGGGAAAGAGAAGGTGGTCAGGTCACAGGAGTTCATTGCTCAGCACTCAGTGTTATTTGGTTGGGTCCACAGAGCCACAGAGGGGATGATCCAGGCAGGAGACAGATATGTATATCAGTGGTTCTAGCTCAGGATGGTGCGTGCGATGTGGGCAGGCCCTGAGTGACATCGTTAACTATGAAATGTCCTGCTAAGCTGTATGTATTGTGGCATTTCTCCAGCAAGAATTAGCTTTATATGTATTCTCAAAGGGCTCAATGACCCCAGAAAGATTAGGAAACATAACCTGAGAGCTTTCTAGAAGATTTTGATCTTGTGCTTCTGCTGTCTCATCTCAGTTCCTTTCTGCATTGTCCACCAACCTCAAGATCTTTGATGATTATTCCCATGGATGGAAGATCTTGTTCATCCATCCACCCATCCTTGTCATCAATTTGTCCATCCCTCTATCTATCTACCCATCCATCAACCCATTTATCCGTCCATCCGTCTGTTCATCTGTTTATCCACCTGTTCATCTCTCCATCTATTTGTCCATCCAGTCATCTGTCCATCTGTCTATCCATCCACCTATCTATTTACCCATTCACCCACCCACCATTCATTCATCCATCTTTCCATCCCTGTCTTCATCTGTTTATCCATCCATCCATCTGTCCATCCATCTGTTCATCTGTTTATCCACCTGTTCATCTCTCCATCTATTTGTCCATCCAGTCATCTGTCCATCTGTCTATCCATCCACCCATCTATCTACCCACCATTCATTCATCCATCTTTCCATCCCTCTCTTCATCTGTTTATCCATCTACCCATCTATCCACCCCCCATTCATTCATCCATCTTTCCATCCCTCTCTTCATCTGTCTATCCATCTACCCATTCATCCACCCACCATTCATTCATCCATCTTTCCATCCCTCTCTTCATCTGTCTATCCATCTACCCATTCATCCACCCATTCGTCTGTCTGTCCATCCATCCATCTATCTCATATCCACTTTGCTGAGCTTCTGCTACATAAGCAGCTAGTGTAAAGAACCAAGAGACCAAAGATGAATAAGACAATTTGCCTATACAAGATGGATCATACTGCCTCCTATAAGTCAGCTTGGTTTCTATTTTCACTTTTCAACTCGCAAAGGTGGCAGAAACAGAATCCTAGTCTAATTTCCAGGAGACTTAACTTTTGTCACAGCATTGGGGAAGGGTTTCTGGTCTTCTAGTTTTCTGGGAGCTCCCAGTTCCGACTGGGACATCCTTTATCAGTCAGTCCACGGGGTTCACCTCCACAATGGCCTTATCACTGTCCACTTTGGCCCTTCCTGACTGCTTGAGATCACAAGCATCTTTCTATTTCCTTGCACACTGGGAATGTCCTGGAGGCTATAAAAAAACTTGTCTTTGAACAAATGGCTTTGGGACACAAAAGCCAGATATTTGCAGACTTGTGTTTTTGTTTTCTTTATATGTTTGTTTTTCTCTCTTCTCTTTCTCATTCCCTTTGTGAGACAACCGTCTGCTAGAAAGAAGGAAAGGGAGGAGTGCAGGGCAGGGAACATGGGCTGGTGGTCATTAGTGTCAACCTGCCATTTGCATGATGAACAGGGATGGAAGACATGTCCCAGGGACCCAGCTCCAGCAAAAGGAGCTGCACTGCCAAGTCTGCACATCCTGGAGAATCATCAGGACTGTGTGTGAGTAAGGGAAGCAAGCCCAGGCTCAGCAAGATCCCTGTTGAAGGGAAAGGCGCTGCAGGTCCTCCATGTCCTTGTAGGCGGCTGAGGTGGGTGGAGCTAACTATCTGCACACACCTTATTCTGGGGCACAGACACTTGGTGCTCACATGACACACACACACACACACACACGCAGCCCACCCAGATTTCAGCCATAGCTGCAGTTCTGTGCAAGTTCAAGTTCACTTTTTTTTTCTTATATGATCATAGCTGTGTACATTGACACTGTCATGGGGTACAGTATGCTATTTCTATATATAATTTGAAATATTTTCATCAAACTGGTTAACATAGCCTTCATGTCATTTTCTTAGTCATTGTGTTAAGACATTTATAGTCTACATTTAGAAAGATTCACATGTACCCTTAAAAGATGAACAATAGATGTGAACCCACCAATCACTCTCCCTCCACCCATCCTCTCCCCTCCCTTCCCCTCCATCTCCCCTTCTTCTGTATTCTTGGGCTATAATTGGGTTATTGCTTTCCTATGAAAGCTATAAATTAGTTTCATAGTAGGGCTGAGTACATTGGATACTTTTTCTTCCATTCTTGAGATACTTTGCTAAGAAGAATATTCCAGCTCCATCCATGTAAACATGAAGGAGGTAAAGTCTCCATCTTTCTTTATGGCTGCATAATATTCCATGGTGTACATATACCACAGTTTATTGATCCATTCATGGGTTGATGGGCATTTGGGCTTCTTCCATGACCTAGCAATTATGAATTGGGCTGCAATAAACATTCTGGTACAAATATCTTTGTTGTAGTGTGCTTTTTGGTCTTCTGGGTATATACCTAGTAAAGAAATTATAGGATCAAATGGCAGGTCTATTTTTAGTTCTCTAAGTGTTCTCCAAATGTCTTTACAAAAGGAACATATTAGTTTGCAATCCCACCAACAATGTAGAAGTGTTCCCTTTTCTCCACAACCACACCAGCATCTGTGATTTGGGGATTTTGTGATATGGGCTAATCTTACTGGTGTTAGATGATATCTCAAAGTACTTTTAATTTGCATTTCTCTGATGATTAAGGATGGTGAGCATTTTTTCATGTATCTATAGGCCATGCAACTGTCTTATTCAGAGAAGTTTCTCTTCAAGTCCCTTGCCCACCCTGAGATGGGATCACTTGTTCTCTTCTTGCTAATACATTTGAGTTCTCTGTGGATTCTGGTTATTAAACCTTTGTCAGAGACGTATCCAGCAAATATCTTCTCCCATTCTGAAGGCTGTCTGCTTGCTTTACTTACTGTGTTCTTGGCTGTGCAGAAGCTTTTTAGATTGATGAGGTCCCAGTAGTATATTTTTGATGCAGCTTCAATTGCCTGGGGGATCCTCCTCATAAAATTTTCTCCCAGGATTGCATTAATGTACTCAGCTATCATTTAATAAAAATAAATAAAATAAAATAAAATAAAATAAAATAATAAAGACCATATGTGACAAACCTAAAAAAAAAAAAAAAAATTTCCCCCAGGCCGATTTCTTCAAGTGTTTTCCCTATACTTTCCTCTAGTATTTTTATAGTTTCTTGTCTTAAGTTTAAATCTTTAATCCAGTGAGAGTCTATCTTAGTTAGTGGTGAAAAGTGAGGATCCATTTCCAGTCTTCTGCAGGTCGCCAGCCAGTTTGCCCAGCACCATTGGTTAAATAGGGAATCTTTTCTGCACTCGATGTTTTTAATTGGCTTATCAAAGATCATATAACGGTATCTCTATAAAGCAAACTATGAAACTCTAAGAAAAGAAATAGCTGAAAATGTTAACAAATGGAAAAACATACCAGGCTCATGGCTGGGGAGAATCAACATTGTTAAAATGTCCATACTACCCAAAGCAATATACAATTTTAATGCAATCCCTATTAAAGCTCCACTCTCAGACTTTAAAGATCTCAAAAAAATAACACTTCATTTTATATGGAATCAGAAAAAAACTCAAATAGCCAAGACATTACTCAGAAATAAAAACAAAGCAGGAGGAATCACGCTACCTGACATCAGACTATACTATAAATCGATAGTGATCAAAACAGCATGGTACTGGCACAAAAACAGAGAAGTAGATGTATGGAACAGAACAGAGAACCAAGAGATGAACACAAGTGCACTTTTTAATTGCAGTTTCACCTGAAGCTGTTTTCTGCTTCCTGTTCCAGGTGGAGGAAGCCATTAACCAGTAGAAAATAGGAGTAAGTGGATAATATCCTGCCTCTTAACCCTCAGTGGACAATTCTGGACACTTCATGAGGTCTTGGAGAAGCTTAGCCTGATGGCTCCATGTAGTAGCCACAAAAATGTACCTTCCTATTGGCTTTTCATCTTTCTCTGTCTCCCTCAGTTCACCCCTCCTGCGGTGAACTGTCTGGGCTTACCTCCCAGTTGCATTAACTGCACTGACTCCTTTTCTCAGGCTCTGCGTTGGGAGGAACCTGAATTAAGCATATGAACTTTGCCAGAGAATAAGACAAATCCAAGAAGAATGGTTTCCAGGCCCCCCTGAACTTCTCCTTCATTTATCCTCTCTTCCTCTGTCTTTGCAGGTGTCAGACCGCTGTGACTATGTCTTTGTCAATGGCAAAGAGATAAAAGGCAAGATGGACGCAGTGGTGAACTTCACGTACCAGTACCTGAGCGCCCCCCTGCACATCACCGTGTGGGTGCCGCGGCTGCCCCTGCAGATCGAGGTCTCAGACACAGAGCTAAGCCAGATTAAGGGCTGGAGGGTCCCCATTGTGGCCAGTAAGAGGTGAGCCCAGGTTGGAGAAATGTCCTGGAGCCATGATGACAAGAGCTTTATTTACTGACCTTCACACTAAAGGACATGGGCTGGTGGTCATTAGTGTCAACCTGCCATTTGCATGATGAACAGGGATGGAAGACATGTCCCAAGGACTGGGACCCTTGAGCTGGGCTGGGCCAAGCACATAGGGAGGGTGCTTCCAGGCAAAAGGAGCTGCACTGCCAAGTCTGCATGTCCTGGAGAAATAATTATGAGTGTGTAGTAGGTGCTGGTATTATCCCAACTATAACATCCCCCTAAATCCTGGCAACACCCTTCTGAGGAGGGCAAGGCTCCAAAATGACCCAGCCATGCCTGAAAGCTGTTACATAGCAGGTCCATGTTAAACCCAGGCTGTCTGCACCCTACTTCTGGGCTCATATTACACCACTTCTTGAAAGTAGATTTCCCAAAATGATGTGATGGAGATAATAAAACTTTTAGCTTCTCCATCACCAGGGAATTTGAGGTTTGGTTTATTTACTCTAAGTAAAGCATCAAAGTTCTCTCCTTAGGAATATCAATAAGCTTGAAATGCTCTGTGCAGATCAGATAATTGGATAAAATTTAATTGCATTTATACTGGGCCATGGGATTACTGTTTGCAAAAAAGCATCTCATTTATTCTCTGTGACTCTGGACTGTTTGTCATACGTAGGAATTTGGGGTCTTGTTTTCTCAGCTCTGTGGCCCCCAGATCAGCATATTTGAACTAAGTGAGGTCCTAGCTTTCTGCCTGGAATTCTTTATCCCAAACCATCAGGACAGTTTTCTTAATAGTGTCCCAGGTACCAGGGCCTTTCTGTTAACAAACAAGTTAGAGAGTTCTTCAGGGATATGCCAAATTCATTTCTATAAGGAGAGCTCGAAGGAATTTGGCATGATTGGAGGAAGACAGCCCAGAGTCTGCCCAGTCCTTCAGATCACTTATTAGTCACTAGTGGCTAAGATGATGGGTTTGTTTAGTCCACATTCCTGAGGGAGCAGAACTGAGATTCGCTGCACTCCAAAGGTCAATAGAATCACCATGTACAGTTGACCAGGTTGTGCATTGTACAACCAATCCAAGCTCTGCCACTTGCTAGCTTTATGAGTGTAGGCTAGTGACCCACTCTCTACACCTTAGTTTTCTCATCTGGACATGAGAGCAATTACGAGTTTGTCTCATAGTATTATGAGATGTTAAAAGAGTTCATACACATGGGAGTTCAGAGTGGGACTCGGCACATCACAAGAATGTAACAAATACATTTCTGTCCAGTAGAACTTTCTCTTTAATAATCCAGCAGAAATTTCTAAGGTGGTAGAATGTTCCAGAGTCACACTTTCCCATTTGGTGACATGTCCACCGGCACACATAGCTATGGTGCACCTGGTAAGGGTTAAGAGACGTTGAATTTTTTTAATTTATTTAATTTTTATTTATTTAAATTAAAATGCAAATAGACACATGTAGCTAAGGGCTACTTAGTAAATATTAGTTCTTGTTTGTCAATAAATGTGCTTTGAGAAATGTCCCCAAAATGAGAAAGAGATGCCTTACACTCTGTGCTGCCCAGTGAGCGTGGGTGCTTGGCATGTGGTCCTGGGGCTGCCATCTAGAATACTGTCTCCATGAGGGGAGGCGGGCACCAGCCTGTCTTCAGGAATTCTCAGGCTCTTGTCGCTGCCTCTGAGAGCTCCTTCTCCTCTCCCACAAGGTCCACTCGAGAGAGCGAGGATGAGGATGAGGAGGACCGGCGTGGCCGGGGCTGTGCCCTCCAGTACCAGCATGCCACCGTGCGGGTCCTCACCCAGTTTGTGTCTGAGGGGGCCGGCCCATGGGGCCAGCCAAGCCACTTGCTGAGCCCTGACTGGCAGTTTGACATCACCCACCTGGTTGCAGACTTCATGAAGCTGGAGGAACCACACGTGGCTATACTCCAGGGCAGCAGGGTCCTGGCTGGGCGTGAGGTCGGGATGACAACCATTCAGGTAGGGAGCAGGAGCTCAGAGTTTCCATGTCCCCAGCTTGGAGCATGCCATGTGGTTTTGAGGGATACTCAAGGTGGACAGTTCACTGTGGCCAATTCCTTATCCCCATGATGGCTCCAGATAGCTTCATGAGGACACAGGAAGGTGAGCCTGGACCAGCTCTTGGAGTTCCAGTCTCCTTCCAAACAGAACTGAGAAGATGGCTGCACACCCTCAGCACCACCTGCCACCTGCTCCCCCTGTGGCAGCCTCTATCCCCACCACACCCCGATTCTGCCCCTCCTCCCTTTGATCCTCCTGCTCAGCACCCGCTGTCCAGGCTTATTCCTCCCACCTGCACGTCCTTAGCAATAACCTCATCTCCTCTCTGCACTGCTCCTCTCAGTGCTGCATGGATTCTTCCTCTCATTCCTCCCTCTCTCAGTCACCTTCTCATCCTACCATTTCTTTATCCAACAAACTGTCTTCAAAATACTACTCTCTTGCCTCCGAAAATGTATAGCATGGTAGGATTTCTGGACAAGTGATGGATAGGGCATGCCTGGCCCTTTCCTCAGCCTGTCAAGTCCCACCCAACTGGCTCCACCTTTGTGGAATGTTGTGAATCCTTATACCACATGAGGAAATGACTGGCACATTTCCATGATTTTACCTGGACATCTCAACTCCAACATGTGACTAATGAAATGAGACAGAAAGTGATGTTTCCGCAAAGGATGTGCTGTGCCAGTTCGCTCCATAGACCACTTAGAATTAGATTCAAACTGCACAAAGTCAGCTTGCATGCAATTCTTCATGAGTCTGACCAGTGGGGTCACCATGTACAGCTCACCAGGCTGTGCATTGTACAAGGCTACCTCATCTAAATGAGAGGAGTTGTTCCCTTTTTAAAAAAAAGAATGGATTTTAATATGTATTTCAGTCTTCCAATATATATAATTAAGGTGTCTTGGGGAGAGGGTGAATTTGATTGTCACAAAGGCATGGTATGTAACAGTGTATAGGGTGAAGTGGGAATGTGACTCCTTCTCGCAGTATTCTGGGACTCAGGTCTGTTTGGGATAGAAAAAATATTTCTGGGAAAGGGTATAACATCTGGAAACACATGTGATGGATTTTCCCTGTGTCCTGCCAATCCCACAGGTATTGTCCCCACTGTCTGACTCCATTCTGGCAGAGAAGACGGTGACCGTGCTAGATGACAAAGTGTCAGTGACAGACTTGGCCATCCAGCTCGTAGCTGGGCTGTCTGTTACCCTCCACCCCACTTCAGAAAACAGCAAGGTCATCACAGCTGTTACCACAGCTGAGGAGCTGCTGCGGTCCCCTAAACAGGTAGGGGGGATAGCACACCCATCATACAGACATTTTCCAGGGCTTAGGGTGGGCTATTCCAGAATTCTGCTGACAAGGAGGAGACCATGGCTACCTGACTTTTTCCAGACTGTCCTGGAGATAGGGCCAAGAGGGAACAGTCAGCCTCTCTCCCTGAGGCAGCAGAAGAGGAGGGGGCAGGTTGGCAGAAACAAGTTCCATGATGGAGGCTGTCATTGCAGACAAAGCTGTTCATCATGCCCACATAGCTTTTGGACCACACAGACCAAGGGTGAGCTCATTTGCCAGCCTCCTTCCCAAGGCCCTTGGCTGCCATTATTATACCCCTACATGCTTCCTTCCTCTCAAGAGCAGAGTGAGCTTTTAAAAGCATAAATCAGACCACGTCTTTCATTAACTTACAGTGCTCCAATGCCTTCCCATTATGCTTAGAAAAAGACTATATTCTTTTGACATCACACAAAACTCCACATGATATAGCCTCCACCTGTCATCTCCCCCAACTCTCAGTCTCTGAGCACACTTGAAGCACATACACCTTGACCTTCTTGAGAAGTTTTCCAATTGCTACTCCTTTTGCCTGGAGAGCATGGCCCTCAGCTCACCATTGAGCACAGCTTTTTTCATTTTCATACCCAGCTGCAATATCACCTCATAAATGCTTTTCCTCATGACCTCGTCTAAATCAGCCCCACTTCTTACCACCCATGCTTTATTTCCCTCATAGTAGTATTAATTATCTGAAATTATTTAGTTACAAACTTTCTTACCTGCTTCTCCACCATGAAATGCAAGCTCCTAGAAGACAAGCACCTTGCTCATTGCTCTCTCCCCAGTGCCCATGCCCATCCCAGTGCCAGCACACAGTAAATGCTCAATCAACATTTTTTTAAATGCGTGGATGACTCTCAGAGCTGGGGTAGATGATGGGAAATTGAAAGAGGGAGGGAAAATAATCTACATTTTACAGCCCAGGCAGGCTCACCAGACCTTGCCAACACTTGCACAGGTGTTTCTGCTTCTGGTGTCATCATTAGGAAATTATTTAGGAGAAGAGTACAGACTTGGGAGCCAGAACATCCAGATGACACTGCAGCTTCATCCCTTACCGCCTTGGACAAAACACTGCACCTGTGTCTCCACACTTAAAGAGAGAACAATAGCACCTACTTTGAAGAGTCCTTTTGAGAACTAACCTGGGACTAACAATGTCAAGTGCTAAAATCAGTGGCTGGCACAGAGTGATACTATGCCACTTCATGAGGCATGGTTGTCATTATTATTATCACCATTTTAGTGGAAGTTCAGAGGACCTGGGGTGCTCTGACAAAGCAGAAAGTCCTGGTTCTGACACTCTGTTTCCAACCTAGTTTCCTCTGGTGACACTTCACCAGGACAGGTGGGCAGTCTAGAGAGGTGGCTCTTGTCAAATCCCTACCATGGACGAGGAAGTGCTGGGAGAGCTGCTCTTTTGTGGAGGGGACAGAAAGCAGGGCCCAGGGGCACTAGCAGTAGGGGCTAAAATCCCATGATTTGCACTAATGAGGTCATGATAGTGTTCTGCAGGAGGAGGTATGACCATGACCATGGGAAAGGAAGGCAATGACAGCCAAGCAGGAAGCCATGGTGGCACACTTGGCAATCACATCCTGCTGGGAGGACAGGAAATCTCCAGCCACAGTGCAGGGTTTCAATGCCCTCAAAGGGCTGCAAACTCAGATGCCTACAGGGGCCACTGTTGTGAACAAGTGATGCAGGCTGTGTGAAGTCTACATGGTTGCCTCGTGCCAATAGCAGGATCTGTGATGATCAGAGTGATAACATGGAGTGCATGGAGGTGTAGGCATCACCTATCACTGTGTAACAACTGCCACAAACCTAGCAGCTTCTCACAGCATCCACTTACCAGCTCACAGGACACCACAGGCTGGAAAAAAGGGTTAGCTGGCTGGGTTCATATCAGGATGCTCTGGGGAAGAATCTGCTTCCACAGTTATTTATGTGTTGCAGAACCTGGCTCTTTTCAGTTTTATGACTGAGGTCCCCAGCTTTGCTGTAGATCATCTGGAAGTCCCTCTTTGCCCCCTAAGGTCACCCACAGTCCTTCCCTCTCCCCACCCCATCCACAAGGGCTGCAGTGCCAGCAGCAAGGCAGGAGGTTCTTCTCCCACCCCCAGCCTCTCGACTTTTCCTTCCTCCATGAGCCAGTGAGCTCTGTTTTTAAGGGTTCATGTGCGGTCTCTGGACCCACTCAGATAATCCAGGAAGATCCCACATTAAGGCCACCTGCACCACGTAACAGAGTCATGAGCAATAGCACGCCCACCATACACGCATGTTCAGAGTTTTAGGGTGGGCTATTCTGGAAATTCTGCCACCAACCATGAGGAGACCGTGGCTACCTGACTTGTTCCAGAGTGTCCCAGAATCCATGCAGACCCACGTGGGGCCCACTGCACCAGCTTTTCTTCTCTCTTGGGGGTGGGAAATTGGCCTGTTGTCTTCTAGGTTATAAAGAGGAATGTGCAGAGGAGAAAGCTGAAAGCATGAAGCCATTTGCTGAGAATGGGTAATTAATTAGGGTGGACGATTGGCATTGCGACCTCCCTGGCATGGGGCGAGGCCACCCGCACTCCCTGCCGATGTCGCACATCCGTCTTCATCAGCTGACTGTAATTGGCGGGCCCAACACTGACTCGAGGGGATTTATGGACATGGTTCATCTGATTTGCAGACATGACTCGTGAAAGGATAGAGTTCTAAATCACTCCTAGGCGTGTGTTATTTTAAGTCGTTCAGAATTTCTCATCTTTGCAGAGATGTGTTGGCCTCTCCTGATAAAACACAAGGTCCCAACCTCTCCGTAATGAGCTAATGGAAGGACACGGTCTCAATCCCACAACAAGGCTGATAGAGATGGGTTTTGGCAGCCCAGGGCGTTCTGAGGGTTTAACTCCAATTGCCTGCCATTTAGGAAGCTTGTGTTATGTTAACGTCTTTCTCCATCTAGAGTCTTGAAGAAAAATTAAATCAACATGAGAATTCAGCGTCAATGAACTTGCATACTGCTAACAGTGTTTTATCACAGCCCATGGAGAGCAGAAGGCTGGCACCTTGTTTGTGATATTTTTCAACTTTGAAATACAAAATCTGAAAGATGTCTGCACCCGCAGATATGAGGGTAGTAGCACATATGTTCCTCCATCCCTTGTCTGTTCTGAAGAAAGTGAAGACCAGAAAACGAACAGAAGAGCCCTGGGGGTTCACGCATGAAGTTGAGGCATCAGAAAGGGGCTTGTAAGGATTGCACAACTCATCAGTCAATGTGGGTGGGGGACAGGGTGGGAACTGCTATTACTGAGCCAATGTCATCTGTCTTAGGTTTGGTTCCCCAGAAGCTAAGCCTAAGGCTAAGATTCTAGTGCAAGTACTTCAAGGAGGTGATAAAAGCAACCCCAGCGGAGACTTCAGGTGATGCTTCCAACTCAGCCGGACTAAGGCCCCCTGGGGACTGTCAGCCAGTCTGGAAAACGCATAAAGAGTTCCCGTATTTGAAGGGCGAGGGAGTAGAGATGAGTGGAGGGTATTAATTCCTTAGCACTTCTAGCTATAGGCAGGGCCAAGTGGGTTCCAGAAAGCAAAAAAAAAAAGGCAAAGTTGACAGTTGAAAGTGCAGCTGGTAGAATAGAACAGGCAGTCACTGAAGCGAGTCCTGTGGCATCTGAGACCTAGGGTGTAGGCTCCCTCCTCAGACCCGGCCAGCATTAGTCTGGGCTATCTCTCTCGGTGAGAGTGACCCAAATCAAACTGGCCTAAGCAGACAGCAGAATTGATCAGTTTGTGTTCATGCATTTCCAACTTCAGGTACAGCTGGATCCAGATGCTCAAACAAGCTTCTCAGAAATCTCCCTTTTTGCTGCTAGGCATAGGGGCTCATACCTATAATCCCAGCACATTGAGAGACTGAGGTCAGATGATCCCCTGAGGTCAGAAGTTTGAGAAAACTTCCCTTTTTATTACCCGCCTTTGTCTTCACTGGTAGAGTATGAAAAGCTCCCAATATTGTTTACCTTGGGACTCCAGCATCCGTTGTGAAGCTCTTCGCAGGCAACCGTGGGGTCATCCTTACCCTCTCCTCTACTTCTGTTCACCTGTCATAGGTTCTCTCTCTTCATATTCCTGGGGTTATATGTTGGGTACGTGAGTTAGCTTTGTCTCCCACTACACTAATTCTCTCCTCAACTGTGTTTCATTTGCTGTTTAAATCCCCCATTGGGTAATTAATTTTTGTGGCCATGTTTGTTTCAATTCTAGAAATTCTGCGTGGGTCTTCCCACATCTCCCTGTTCTCTCTCCTCTCACCTCTACTCTTTTCACATGGTTTCTACTCCTCTTAATCCCTGTTTAACGATTTCACTCCATGGTCTATTAGTTTGGGGTTTACTTTATTGTACAGTCTTTTGGATTTTTCCATTATGTCAATATGTGCCTGCTTATGTTCCTATGTAAATTTTTAATGACTCTGTCGGGGTGCCTTCCTACCTATGGATTGTAATCCTTTTTTTCTTTTTATCTTGAGGCAGGAACTGCCTACTCCCAGGCACTTCTGAAGTATTTGCATTTGCATGGGTCCAGTTTCATGTTAATTTTTTTCCTTCTCTCTATAATTCCTGCCTTATAGAAGTGATCCAGTGTCAGCTCTTGCATTTGAGTGTGTGGTCTGGTTTCTAGTGGAAGCATTTTCCACCCAGTGTTCAGGGCACAAACAAGTTTTGTCTCTGTATCTCTGGCTCCAGCAGATAGGATTTTCTCGTCCCCCACAGGGGCTGCAGTGGCAGTGGCAGTGTCAGAGGTGGGTGTGGCCAGACAAGTGAGCAGGAAGGCAGTGGGGATGAGGCCTGGCTTCGTATAAAAAAGGAAGAGAGGAGAGGAAATAGCTGTTTGAATTTTCTCAATAAAAGTTGAGTCATCCTGGTTTTCGTGGACCTGATAATCAGACTCTGGAAAGGGCTGTTCCCAGGGTTCTCCAGCACGGGGGCTATAAGCTGGGAGCCACACTGCCCAGCCCTGATTTTACCTCTTGCCAACCATGAGACTGTGGACACATTGCTTAACCTCTCTTTGGATAGGAAGTATAATCATACCCGCCTTGTGAAAGAGGAGGAAATGCCTTATATGAAGAACTGTGAGCATCACCTGACCCATAATAAATGCCCAGTGGATATTACTGTAGCTATCCATTCTGTTACTAGGATTACACATTTCACCTAGCTCTACTCCTTCAGGGAAGATTACTCCCCAGCTACGTTCAGGGCTCTGTCCTAGGTGCTGACACCCCAACTACATCCAAGGCTCTGTCCTAGGTCCTAGGTGCTGAAGACCTGGCCCCTCTAAGAGTCTCTGCCCTTGGGGAGAACTTCTCACTCTGGGAAGCAAAACAGAAGTATTCATACCTAACTCTGGAGCAATGCCCTCCATGGTAGTAGGCTTGCCATGGGCAGGCAAAGGAGAGGGGCTGTCATAATTGCCCTGGAGAGGAGGTAAGGAGTGGGGGATAGCTTGTGCTGATTGAGAACTTGCCAGACACACAGGAATGGGGTAGAAACATTTCCAGGCCAATAGCTTTCTTTTTCTTTTTTTTTTTTTTTTTACTATTATTCAGCCTTAAAAAAAGAATGCAATCTGGACATTTGTAGCCATAGATGAGTCTAGAAAACTGCATGAAATAAGCCAGGGACAGAAAGTCAATTTTTTGGCTGGTCCCCACCATGGGAAGTGCCGGACATGGTGCTCAGCCACTGACACAAGGGTAGAGTCTTCTGAGTAACTCAGCCCTGTCTCGCGGGCCCTAAGCTGCCTGCTTTCCTCTGATGGCAATTTCCATAGATGCTACCTGTGCTGAGCAAAGGCAGCACAACTGACCAGGGCCACCAGCTAATGCCATTCCCTGGCACACAGCCCATCACTGCCCTCAGAGTGTGACAGTCAACAGAACACTTTCAATGGCACAAAGGGTCAACTATAATGGAAAAATGCACTTGTTTTATTATTTCTCAGGAAAAGCCAAAGCTGCAGGGAGAAGAGGGGGGCTTCCTCTCTCACGCCTGGGCCCTGACCATGTGTCCCTGATGCCACGTCAGCTCTGTTGTCACAGATAGTGCCTGCATCAATTCCTCAGTGTGGGACACCAATCAGTGTCTGTGGCAAGGCAACAAGGGACTGCTCTGGAAGTCAGCCATTGCCTATGAAGGTGCCCAGACCAGTGCAGTGGTTCAGGTGACATCTCTGCTAATAGGACCAGCCAGAGCCCAACTGCAGGGTGTTCTTTTTGCTATTGGTTGGTTGACTAGCTTGTCCCTCATAAGGGCAATGCTGGTGCCATAAGTGTCTCCATTTGCTCTCCTTTAAAGTAAGGTGATTTCTCTGACCTTGACATAAAACCTGCAGGTGTCCTCCCCAGACCCACTGGCTGCTGGATCTGGCTGTAGTCTGCTTCTGTCTCCCAGGCACTCTCCTGGGAGGCATCTCTAGAGAAGAGGCATGGGTGGCCCAGGCTGGTCTTCTAACTGTGTCTCTCCCTGTAGGAGGCCGTGGTCAGCACTTGGCTGCAGTTCAGCGATGGCTCCGTGACTCCCCTGGACATCTACGACACCAAGGACTTCTCCCTGGCAGCCACTTCCCAAGATGAGGCCATCGTGTCTGTGCCCCAGGCCCGCTCCCCCAGGTGGCCCGTAGTGGTGGCAGAAGGGGAGGGCCAGGGGCCACTGGTCCGAGTGGACATGACAATCGCAGAGGCCTGCCAGAAATCCAAACGCAAGAGTGTCCTGGCCGTGGGCATTGGCAACATCAGGGTCAAGTTTGGGCAGAATGATGCTGACTCTGGCCCTGGGGGGGATTACGAGGAAGATGAGATCAAAAACCACGCCAGTGAGCGCAGGCAGAAGGGGCAGGATCAGGAGCGCACAGGCCAGGACGGACACTTCTACGGCAGCTCTTCCATGGGGCGCGAGGAAGGGGCTCTGCGAAGGGTCACGACCACAGCCAAGTCGCCCCTGGACAACAAAGTGGTGAAGAACAGCCGGGTGGACGGGGGCAGGCTGTCTGGAGAGGGGCAACTGCAGAACATCCCCATAGACTTCACCAACTTCCCCGCCCACGTGGACCTCCCCAAGGCGAACGCTGGGCTGGAGGAGAACGACCTGGTGCAGACGCCCCGGGGCCTGAGCGACCTGGAGATCGGCATGTACGCCCTCCTGGGGGTCTTCTGCCTGGCCATCCTAGTCTTCCTGATCAACTGTGCCACCTTCGCCCTCAAGTACAGGCACAAGCAAGTGCCCCTGGAAGGCCAGACCGCTGTGCCCCATTCTCACGACTGGGTGTGGCTGGGCAACGAGGCCGAGCTGCTGGAGAACGCGGGGGACACGCCGCCTGCCCAGCACGAACACACGACCGTCATCGACCGCGGCCTGGGCGCCTGCGAGGAGAGCAGCCAGCTGCTCCTGAATGGCAGCTCGCAAAAGCACGTGCAGAGCCAGATCCACAGGGCGGCCGAGGCCGGGGGGAAGCAGGGCCGGGAACAGAAGCAGGAGCCCCTGCACTCGCCCACCTCCAAGAGGAAGAAGGTGAAGTTCACCACCTTCACCACCATCCCCCCGGACGACAGCTGCCCCACCGTGAACTCCATCGTGGGCAGCAACGACGAGGACATTAAGTGGGTGTGCTGAGACGTGGGCGTGGGCTGGGCGTCCCAAGGACTCAGGGCTCGTCTGGAGAGAGTCCCAAGTAGAGTGAGGGCCCTCAGCCCGGGCACCTTCCTTCCACTCCACAGTTCGTTTCCACTCTGTAAATTAGCCTGGATGGGGCAGAGGTTCTCGCTAGGTCCAGTAGGAAGGGCTGAACCTCTATGACAGTGGGAAGTTTTGAAGCCGGGAAGGGACTTTTTTTTGTATCAAGGTTTCCTTGGGCTTTTTTTAAACAGTCCATGGTGGCAGATTTTCGAAAGTCAGAGGAATAAACTCTGGGGCGCAGGGAATGCGACCGAGATGCTGAAACTGCACCAGGTGAAATTGCTATGGGAAGGTTATTTTATGAGTCAAAATATAATACAGACAAGCTACCAAAAATAATTTGTTAAAAAATGAAAAAAGACAAATAAAAAGAGATAGAAATAATAATCTGTTTATATTTCTAATAAAGGAGCAAAATATAAAAATAGGGACTGCTAAGAGACATCATCCATTTAAGTTCAATATTCGCTCTTCCAGGAACAGCCTTTGACTGTCAGCAAGGGGCGGGGCAGGCATGCCTCTCAATACTGGTTGCCTCTTGCCATACAACAAAGGATTTTTAAATCTTTACTTGATAATCTTTTCTTCTCTTTTCCATATTTCCTTTTTATTTTCCTTCTTTGTGTCCTAGTCTTCCATTTCATTTATATTTAAATGTTTATTTCTAAGGATCAAGGGGTATATTTTTCTTGAATGAAACATAAATTATATTGCTATTTGTTAGATGGAGTCTTAGAAACAGTGTCAATTAACTCACCCTTTAAGTAGTAACTTTAATGCTTTTCTATATCCCGCCAGCCCTGCAGTACTTGCTGGGTTTTCACCGTCAGGGGGAGCTCTGAGAGCCTCTTGTGGGAGGAGGGACCTTGGGCCCCCACCACCACCAGGTCTGGGACTTTGCTAAAGGCTGTACGGATGGGACGTGGTCAGCAGAAGGAAGCCCAGCCTGGCCCACCTAACTACCCGGTGACTCCTTCTCTCCTGGCACAGGGGAAAGTTGGCTCAAATCCAAAAGACAGACAGTGCCCAGAGTCAACCTGATGGGATGGGTCTGTCGGAAGATCTATCCAATGCTGAAAAAAAATGAACGACGATTAAAAAAGAAAAACTTACGAGTTTTTAAGTTGTTTTTCTTACTTTGTAGGGTGGGGTATACCAGCATAAACTCTAAAGATAAAAATCTATGTTAGATTGTCAATCAACTGTGTTTTTGAACAGCATAATTGTGTAGCAGCACATTGCAAACACGCATTCATCCAAAGCAACATGTATGTGGCCCAGAAGACCACGACAGAGTGAAATAAACCCCTTCGTGCTTATCTGACTCCGGCTTCTGTGTGTGTTGTCCGCCGTGGCTGCAGGAGGCAGGCACCGAACAGCTTTCACGCAGGGAGAAGCTCGCAAAGATGCCAGGAGTGTTCATTGTGTTTATTTTTTTTAATTACTAAAAGCTGTAGCTAAGACAGGATCTTTAAAGCCTTCTAACCTTGGTTAGACCTTCTAAAAAATATATTTGTAGCACATATTACAGATAGAAAGAAGGTATTTATTTACACCTGGGATGCCAATTATCATTCAAAAGCTTTTCCTGGTGGGACAATTCAGTGTCTTGTGGAGTGTTTCTTGTTTCATTTAGTTCCTAATCCCCACCCCAAAGTGTACAACTCCTGAGGAATTAAACTGTGCGGCCAGAGAGAAAACAGTACACTCACCCATCTCTTTATTTTCCCCCTCTCAATTTCTTGGCTGATCCAGAGTGATTCCTAAATAGAAAACCTTTCTCTCACCCATGCACCACCCGTCACTTGCATAGTGCTCAGAATCTCCTGGAGGGCTTGACACCATGCAGACACAGGGCTTCCTCACCCGAGGGTCTGAGTCAGCCTTTGTCACACCTTCCAGGGAGATGCCAAAGTGGCTGAACTGAGGCCACACCATGCAAACAACCAGTCTACATCCAAGAAGGAAAGCCCTGCCTTTAAAAAACAATGTTAAATCTCTCCTCTCAGGAAAAGGCTTACTTTTGTGTTGCAGGTGATGTTGTTGTTTGTTTGAAGTTTGGGTGGAACTGTGTTGCTGTTGATGGGTTGGCTGCATGAAGAAGAATTGGGGGTAGAAGATAAGGTTTGGTTTTTTTCTTTCAATAACAATTCTATTGAGGTATCATTCACGTATCAAAGAGTTGACCTAGTTAAACGATACAATTTAATGTTTCTTAGTATAGTCACAGAGTTGTAGATCCTTCATCACATCAATTTTAGAACATTTTCATCATCCCTAAAGGAAACCCCATACCCAATCAGATCCCTATTCCCTATTCTCAGCAGCCCTAAGCAACAGCTGCTCTATTTTCTGTCTGCATGGATTTGCCTGGAGCTGCTGGTATTTATATCGTTCTGCCAGACCCCCTAAAAATGCTCCAGATGGGTTATAATCCCCATGATATCACCAAGGAACAAGTTTTCTTCCTGTGAGAAGCAGGTGGGACTAAGGTATTATAATTGTTTTCTTGATTGAGGCTGCAGGAGACCCTAGTCTTCCCCCCACACAGCTGTACAGAGAACAGAGTCTTTGAGCACTTTTGTGTAGGTACCGTGTCCTCTCCTGTTCTATACCACTCCTTCCCTAGCTAGCTTTGTATTTCTTGAAAAGACCCGTGCTCCACATAAGGGAAAAGAGGATTGTGGTTGGATCTAAAGCTGGATGTTAAATTTCTGCCCTGTCTTAAACGATAAAATGGTCAGAACCACCCCCTTACCCCACCCTGCCAGGCCCTTCCACAAGTCTTAGTGGCCGAAACTTAAGGGCAGAGATCTTTGAGAGATTAGACACGCGCCTGCACCCTGCTTTCCCTTTGGAGGTTTTCTGATTCACATTGCAGAGCTCAGAGGCTAAAGAAGAATTGACAGCGTAGAGCTTGCAGCAGGCTCATAGGGCTGGACAGACAAAAATAATGTCCAGGACTAAGAAGGTAGCAAAGAACCGAGACTCCAGGATGACCAAGGACAGGAAACTGCAGAGAAATTAGTGCACTACCCAGCACGCAGTTTTCTCTTGAGGCGTTTTCCTTTTTCTAAACAGTACATGAGTGAATGAGGCAAAAACTAAGAAATTTAGCAGAAAAAAAAATGGCTGAAGAAGATGAGAACTGTTGGCAGTTGAGGATCCCAGTTCCCCCAACCCAGTGGACCTAGTTCAATCTCTCAGCTGAGCTGGAAAGTTCACCCAGGCACGGCGGTAACTGAAAGTAGAAACGGATGGAAACTGGAAATAAAACTGGAGCCACATAGGCAACTTGAGTAGAAAGCAAAAGTAACCTGCACAAGTGTCAGGGTAAGAAAGAGAGATTTTATTCAGGAAGAACAAAGAGAGTTTAAAGCACTTCCAAAGAAGAGTAGGAACTGAGTTCCTTCCACGAAAAACCAGAGGTGAGAAAAATGGCGGTGCAAAGATCTGCAGGGGTAGAAACACCCTCCCCATTACAAATTGTCTGCAAGTCTTCCATTGGCCTCTCCGCACTGCCAGGCTGTGTTGCCCTTTTCTATTGGTCATTGGTTGTCTTTTTCTATTGGCCATTGGTTTCCTAGGTTACTTCATACCACATCATTAGGAGCCCTCCACACTTCCTGGTTCCACAGGCCAGGCTTTCCACCTGCTGCCTTTGACGACCTTTTCTTGGTGTCCCTATGAGACATGGCTGATCTCATAGTTCTTGGGAGACTAAAAACCAGAGTTGAAAGCCCTCAAAGGGGAAGGTCCTCAGTAAAGACCACAGGATTAGGGTTGAGACCTCAAAGGACTTATTCCAACAAATGTGAGCCAACTGTACTCGGAGTGGCCAAAGTCACTCCTGACAGAGCTTTGAGTCATCTTGACTAATGATTACATCAGGGACTTCTGCTGAGGACCTCAGCTGTCCGCAGCCAGGGGACAGCTCTGGGTAAGACAGAAAGAGGTGTTTGACTATTGTGTCTCCCCCTCCCATCTGGTCGAAGCCCCTTCCAAAGAACAATGGCTCCTTCTTCTCCCCTGCATCTCATATTCTAAAAGTGATTCTCCTTCACAAACTCTCACCCGGAACCAGAGGAAGAACAGGGTTCTGGAAAACGTAGTTATTGGTTTCTAATCTGTATTACAGAAGATGCCGGAGAAAGAAACATACTGAGTTAACCAAAGGCAATCAAGGCAACTTGAATTAAAAGACAAAGACAGTGAGTCTGGATTTTAAAAAGAAAAAAGGTATGCACTGATTACAAGAGATGAGGCTCCAAAAGTGAAGACCAAAAAGACCAAAAGGAAAAGGTTGGAAGTAAAAGATGAGAGTAAACTATACCATGTTAACACTAACAGAAGGCGAATGTAGCTATACAAACATCAGAAAAAGAACACCTGGAGGCAATAAATATTATTACTAGAAATTAACAGGCAATTCTTAATAATACAGGGACCTGATAATATAGCTGCAAAATTTCTACAAGGTAGATTAAAAACTACAAAACAACCATGAAAGAACTCGAGGAAGACCTAAATAAATGGGAGAAAAGCCACGTCCATCTAGAGCTGTAAAGTAACAAACATGTGTTGTTGTAAGTTGTTAGATGTATGGTAATTTGTGACAGCGTCAAGTGGCATCTAACACAGTATCCTTGAGGTATGACCTGCTTAGGGACCCAGAATGAGTCTTCCCTGACCACAGCACAGTCACTGGGTCACTGTCGTAGCCAGAGCCTCATTGGCAACAAGCAAACTATCCTCTCAGGCCCAGGGACGGCCCCCCTTCCTGCCATTTCATATGCTCTGTTACTAAGGAGCTGAGGGCGAGGGCTGTCAGGTTTCCACTGGGCAAGTTATCCTGTCCTCTTGGTTGTTGAGAGTCTTTTCTCCAATGGGTGCTCTCCGGAGGGTATCAGCAGAGAGAAAGGGGTTAACAGAGATGTTTTTGGCCATCCCTTGGGCCTGAGGAAGAGCTCTGGGATACATTGGATGCCACTTAAAACCGGCCACCTCCAAAATCGGCCACTCAGTGGTTGAAACAGTGTTTCCTGGGGTGGCACATGCTGTCTC